ACTGGGCAAGGGAAGAATTTGAAAGAAATAAAAGCACCACACAAGAGGATACAATCCAGATGATGATTACTCAAGGCAATATCCAGCTAAAGGAGTTAGAGAAAACACTCGCATTAGCAAAATCTTAACTCTAGCATTATTCTGAAGGATTTCCAAATCTTCATGTGTTTTGTTGAGTTTAGGCTTAATGGACAGCTCAAAGCCAAGTCAAACTGTCTGTATGTATAATACTCAGGCACAATGTCAGAAGGCAGAGCATAGTATGTTATAGACAGCAAAGAAAAGCAGTGAAACAACTGCCTTAGAACTGAGAAATATACCTGAGTTCTGAAAATGTTTCTGGTTGGGTCACCGTTTTCATAAGAAGCAAAAGCTATTAACAGCCAGTTTCCACATGAAAAGATGCTCAACACAAACCATCGGGAAAATTCATATCAAAACCATAATGAGATAGCCCTTCACTTTCACTATAGTGGCTACAATTAAAAAGGGAAATAAATATTGGTGACGATGTGGAGAAATTGCTCAGGGGCACACACCTGTAATCCCATCATTTTGGAACCTTCTTGAAAAATCCTTCTGCACTATTTTTAAGGGTTGTTGAGGTACATTCTTCAGCTGTGCCATGATTTGATAGCCAAAGGACTCTAAAAAGACCATCACTGGCAAATCTGGATCTGTGTTGGAAAGAAAAGAAAAAGAACTTAATGAACACATTAAATACCAAAAAAAGCAGGGAAAACTTAAGGCAACTTCTGGATAAAACTTCCATGATTACCTTAATTTTGATGTGGATAGAAGTATATCCTGGAGGAAAATGCTTGGTGTGTCAGGTTCTTCTCCAGGGACAGGAAAAACAAAGAATTTTGAAGAATACATCAGAGACAACTAAATCACAGCCAGAGTTGACTTGAGGACACTTTTGAAAGTGATTAAATTTATAACATACAGTTAATGAAAGATGTGGAAGCAAAAGCTTATGGAAGGTGCTGGGGTGATCAGTCCTGCAAACTGAAGTCCTGTTCATCAACAGAACACAGCCAAGAAGCTAATCCAAGAATCTGGCCAACATCTGAAAGATGTAGATACAATTTTGCAGAACGATACATGGTATCAAGTACTGTACTATAAGCTAGAGGAGAGGCATAAACCAATGGTGTGCATGTTAATGACCTGGATTCCCAGAGCCCACTCTTACCTTCCTGTAGCCTCAGTGTTCACAACACAAAATACTTCTGAATACCCTTCTGAGGGGGTAATCTAATTCAAAATGCTTTTGTGAGTCAGCCTTTAGATTCCTAAATAAGCATTAGTATGTTGCAAAACCATCTGACAAAAAGAAGCATCTGTGAAGTTTCTGAATAAAGAACATGTTGGAAATACAACAATAATCGAAGTTGAATTTTTTTATTCACTTAAGAATTAAAAATGATTATGCCAGGCATTGTGGCATGAGCCTGTAATCCCAGCTACGTGGGAGGCTGAGGCAGGAGGATCATGAGATTAAGTCCATCCTGAAGAAGTGCATCTTAAAAACACCACTATTGGGCCGGGGATTTAGCTCAGTGGTTTCGCTGCCTGCTGTGCAAGCACAAGGACCTGAGTTCGATCCCTGGTACCCCCCCCAAAAAAACCCCCAAAACACCACTATTGCCACCAACAAAGATTATACCCAGAGCTGAGAAGGTGTCTGAAATGTACACACACACATGCAAGGCTGATGTATATAAACTGATAAACAAAAATTTTCAGGAAACTATATGATTTCATATCAACAACCTAAAAATGCTTGTCCTTACAAATTCCACTTTTGAGAATCCTAAAAAGTATTTCTATATAGACAGACAAATTCACAAAGATTTTTTTTGTGTTTCTGGTGGAATTGGGGATTGAACACAGGGCCTTCACACTAAATTACATTCTCAGCACCCCCCCCCTTTTTTTGTACCAGGCATCAAACTCAGGACCTTATGCTTGTGAGGCAGGTGTCAGTACCACTGAGCTACATCCCCAGTCCTCTCCCCGCTTTTGAGCAGAGTCTTGCTGAATTGCCCATGCTGGGCTTGAACTTGTGGCCTTCCTGTCTCAGCCTCCCAGAGTGCTGTGGATTACAGGCATCTGCCATCACCCTGAGTATAAAGGTTTATTTGTAACAATAATACCAAGTGGAAACAAGCTAAACAACCAACAATTAATATGAGTAAATAAGTTGTAAAGATCTATCATGATAGAATATTATGGACCAGCAAAATGAAACTGTTTTATCCAAAGCCTGAGAGGACACTCATAAAGGTGAAGCAGAAAGAAAACGAGGGAATATAAACAAAGTTTTAAAGAGAAGAGCATGATACACTGGTTCCTTTTTTTTTTTTTTTGGTACCAGGGATCAAACTCGGGTCCTTGTGCTTGCGCAGCAGGCAGTGAAACCACTGAGCTAGATCCCCAGCCCAAAATATTGCTATGTACCATAGCAAGACTGTGCTATGGTACTGGAGTCCACATTCTTTTTTTTTTTTTATACTGGGGATTGAACACGGGTCCTTGCTCTTGCGCAAACTGGTTCTTAGAGTGTGGTTCCAAGAATAGAGGTGCCATGTGTTTGCGTGTTTCACAGCACCCTTCCTAGCACTGGATATAATTTTTTCTTTCTTTCCTGAGTGAGAAACCATCACTAGGGAATGGACAGAGATGTATGCGCCTGATCCCTACCTCACGCCATGGCAACTAGAGCACGAAAGGTAGAAAGTCAGAGGCAAGAGTCAAAGCACTGCATCATCAAAGCTGCATTTGGGTGTTGACTACGCTTTCTCAGCATGCGTACAGGTGTCTTAGGAAGTGTTGGTACTGTTGTTATCTGCACTTGAGAGATCAGGAAACTGAGGTGCAGAGAGGGGCAGTGGTTACCCAAGATCGCAGAGGTGATGTATGCAGAGCAGGGACGTCAAGGCAACCCCCCTCTCCCAAGCCCATGCTGGAACAAGTGTGCGAGCGCTGCCTGGGCAGGTCTACAAACCACCGGCAGTGGTGGGGCAGTCTTTCCTGAGACAAGATCTGTTGCCCAGGCTGGCCTCAAACTCTCGGGCTCAATAATCCTCCCGCTTCAACTTCCCGGGAAGCTGGGGCACAGGTGCACACCACTGGCCACTGGGGTTTATTTTAAATGGCAATAGTTAGGTGTTTATGAAATGTGTAGTAGAAAGACAGAGAACTACTATTTCAAACTCATCATTTCAATAGCAACAGCTTCCCTTTACATAACTGAGTTTATATTGTTAGCTGCTTTAATGAAAAATATGAAATAAAGTACTGTTATGCACAGGTACAGCAAATATGGCAGAGCTGCAACAATGACACACAGGAGGGTCCGCTGAGCAGCCTCCAAAACCACTGGGTCGTACAGCCGGGAAGCGGGTGGGAAAGGGGTGGGTTATGCAGGGACCAGAAAGATTTCTTGGGGTTGACGGAACTTTCCAAAACTGGTTTCTAGTGATCACTATGTGACTCTTTAAATCATGTGAGTTGTACACGTCAACATGGTATTTAAATTTTAGGGTTTGTAAACTGTACCTCCAGCCAGGCATGGTGGTGCACACCTGTAATCCCAGAATTCAGGAGGCTGAGGCAGGAAGATTACCATGAGCCCAAGGCCAGCCTGAACCACAAAATGAGACTGTCTCAAAAAAACAAATTATAGGGCTGGGGATTTAGCTCAGTGGTTCCACCGCCTGCCTCACAAGCGCAAGGTCCCGAGTTCGATCCCCGGTACCAAAAAAATTTTTAAAAATTCAAAAAACAAATTATACCTCCAAAATGCATGTGTAATATAAAAATTTGAATAGTTCCATGTTAGGAAATAAGATCTTTATATTACAACAAAAGATATGTAACAATTTGTACACTTTATCATACATAAATTGTTTTTTTGGTACTGGGGATCGAACTCGGGACCTTGCACTTGCGAGGCAGGTGCCAGAACCACTGAGCTAAATTCCTGGCCCTTATCATACATAAATTGTACTTAAGGAGTGTGGAAAACACTGGGCTCAAGGGCAGGATGTGTAGCTGAAGTGTTCGAGGAGAGGTGTGCAGGCTGCCTCTCTTGCCTCTGAAAAGGCATCACAATGGTGCACAACTGCAACCCCAGTGCTCAGGAGACTGAGGCAAGTTTGAGAGCTCAAGGCCATGCTGCCTGGAATACAGACAGACACACACACACAGAGGGAGAACGAAAATCACATCACGAAACCAAGCTGAGCTGATGGAGATTTGTTTGGAGGGTTGGAAACACAATAAAACTATAGAGAAGTATTTACTGCAGAAGCCAGGGATGCATCCACAGGAGTATTCATAGAACAACTGTCACCTTCTCTGTATGTTGGGAAAAAAATGCCTACAGTGTCCCTTATAGTAAAGAATGAATGACTATATAAACAAAGGCCCAAAGACCACGGAATCTGATTGCCAGGTGTGGGGGTACAGGCCTGTAATCATAGCACTTGGGAGGCTGAGGCAGGAGGATCACTCCAAGGCCAGCCTGGGCTACATAATGAGTTCGAGACCAGCCTGAATTACATAGTGAGTCCTTATCTCAAAAGCAAACAACAACAAAAAGAAAGAAAGAGAGAGAGAGAGAGAGAGAGAGAGAGAGAGAGAGACTAAATTTTTTTTCCTGGTACTGGGGACTGAATTCAGGACCTTCCCACCAAGCTATATCCTCGTTCTTTTTTTCTTCTGAGACAGGACGTTGCTAAGTTACTAAAATTGTCCCAGCCAGGCTTGACCTTTCAATCTTCCTGCCTCAGCCTACAAGGGCACACCATCATGTCAGGGCTTGAAATGCTTTCTTTATACACTCATTTATATATATATATACATGTACACACACACATATCCCAAAGTGAGCTTGTATAATTTTTATAATAAGGACTAAAAGGTATAATAGATAATAATTTTTATAATAGAAGAAAATTTTTTTTCAGAGAGAAAAATTGTACAAGGAGTCAACTGATAAAAATATTTACTGAGGGCAAAAGGCCAAGAAGAAACTCCCCAGGACCAGCTGAGAGGTGAGAGACAGAGGCCCCAACTTCCCACCCCCGCCTGGCAGGGAGGCCCAGGCAGAGCTCGCTTTGGGCTCTGGGCAACTGGGTGTCTGCCCTGCTCGTCGGAAGGTCAGCGTGTCCTGCACCCCGAAAGCTGGTGTCAGGGGAGGTGGCAAAGGAAGTCATGCAGAGGCAAGGCCACGACCCCCGACAGGGAGATCCCCAGGGTGTCAGAGATGCAGGTGGCCGCCATGGCGAACTCTCGGTGCTCATCGCTGGCCTGGGGCAGAGAGCAGAGGGGAGGCTTTGGTGCTGGAGGTCCAGCCTCGGACCCCCGAGGCCCCCACAGCCCTTCCCCGGCACTGCTGACCTCCAGGGCGATGTTGTGGAAGGTGTTCACGTAGGCTGCACCCCCCAGGAGCCCCTCATACAGAACGATGAGGAAGACGAGGTACATGCTCGGCAGGAAGCTTAGCAACACGTCCGCCAGCAGGAAGGCCAAGTTGAGGCACTGTGGGCACAGTCAGAGGGCAGGGCTGAGACGGGGCCAGGCTGGGGAGGAAGGGAGGCCGGCATCTCAACCAGCAATCCCGGATCTGGGGGGACTGGTGAAGGAGCACAGACAGCTGGGAGAAAACCCCAACGCGGCCAGGCCTACCCACCGCACTGAGACCCGGGCTGGCTCCCCCACCAGGTCCCGGCACCGAATCCCACAGGTTCCCCTTCTCATCCGACTGGGGTCACTCCCACCTGGGACCTCATTTCCTTCTTCTAAGGGCTCCCTGAATAGAGTTCCTCTCCTCCCACTGTAAACGAAAGAGAACAGTGGCCCAGGGGACATTTGGCAACATCTGCAGGTGTCACTGCTGCATGCAGTGGGCAGAGGCCAGGGCTGCCAATGAGCACTGCCAGGCACAGGGAGGCCCTACACCAGAACAGGCTGGGCCCACGCATCGATGGCGAGGCCGAAACCCTGGCTCAGATGCTCCCACTTCTCTTAGGAAGCCTGATGCCCAGCCAAGGGTACAGGTCCCTCCTCTGTGCTGAGAGCACCATGTGGCTTCCCCAGGGTACCGGCCACTGCCTGGTGGATCACACGGTTCATGTTCCTAAGAATCACCCGGGGATCGTTTTAAACATGGACCACGCAGGCCTCCCCCTCGGAGGTCCTGATGCAGAAAGTCTGAGGTGGGCTCAGATCTGCATGGAAGAGAACATGCCCTAGTAATTCCGCTACAAGGGCGGGACCCTGCCAGCATGTTCATCTGTGGCTTGAGGCCAAGTACTTCCTACGGTGGCAATAAATGTGACAGCCCTAATTCTACGAGGCAGCTTGATTGAGCTGGTACCAGAAACCATAAGCTGCATGTTTCAGCAGCATCTAGAAGAATCGTACTTGTTGACAAGACAGTTTGGGTCTTTGTGGGTACAAGCCCTGGGCTGGCAGCAATGCTCAGAAGAAAGAAGAAGAAGGTAGAGAATATGTGCGAGCCGTTCCCTGACATCAGAGGGTGATCTCGCCGGGCACAGTGGGACATGCCTGCCATCTCAGCCACTCAGAGGGCTGAGGCAGGAGGGTCAGGAGTGAAGGCCAGCTGGAACCATGTGGAGAAACCATGCGCTCAAGATGAAATAAAATAATAAAAAGGGCTGCGGATATAGCTCAGCATTCCCTGGGTTTGGTCTCCTGCACACACACGCACACATATGCGTGCGGGCAATTTCTTACTTCTGCGTCTCCTTACAGAATGAGGATTTAGCTAGGTATGGTGCTGCACAGCTGTAATCCCAGCACTCTGGGAGCCCAGCACAAGCAACTTAGCAAGACCCTGCTTCAACTTGGGTGGGCGATTTCCAGACTAGGGATGCTTGGCCCATAGTTGAAGGTTTATTTCCAGTTTCCTTCAGAGACCCCAGACTTGTAACCCTGAGACAGTGATGGCAGTGCTGGTCACGTGATACTCCTTTGTTAGATTGCTACAGAGAATGGTATTTGTGTGCTAAAAACAAGAGTGCTATTTGCAAATTTGCTTACCAGTAATTATTTACTGAGAAAAATAACCCCTGTCCACAATGTCACTGGTAATATTCTAATTAACCATCCAGAAGGAAATATTTCTTAGAGATAGAAATATTTCACAGCCTAAACAGGCATGTGCAAATAATTAAGTGCGCCAACTACTTAAAATATAACACAAAACGTTTTCCATCCTTCTTCTCATCTCTATTTCTTATAACTATCCTGACAAATAGATCTTGCCCACATCTGGTTATTTATTTATATCTATCATCCATTCATCCATCCAATTTTGTAGTGCTGGAGATCAAACCCAGGGCCCTATGCATGCTAAGAGAGTGCTCTCCCAGTGAGCTACATCCCTAGCCCCTGATTTTTTTATCTAATTTTTGCAGTGCACGCTAGGCGAGTGCTCTGCATTCCCATGTCTGATAAATGAGGTGACTGAGGCTCAGAGAGGTTCAGAGACCTGCCCGAGTCAGACAGCTACCAGAGTGAACACAACAGATTTGCAGTGGAAACCGGCTAGGCTGGTTTTCAGTCTCCCTTTAATTTCCATGCTTGGAAATATGTGTACAATAAACACTTCCTGTGGAGGGAAGGAAATATGGGACGGGGGAAGCTGGGGCCAAGGTGGAGTGGAATGACAGGCTGGGCAAGTACCTGCAGCAGGGCCAGGGCCCAGGTGTAGCGGATACGACAGCAGCGGAGAGAAGAGCGAGAGACAAAGACCCCGGCCTGGTACAGCATCTGGTACCTGAGGCGGGGAACAGGGATGGGAGGAAGCTCCTTTGGGGTCCAGGGGCAGGGCAGGCGGTCGCCCCAGCCCGGCCACTCCTCAGCCTCACCCACTCACCAGCGGTACTGCTGAGCGTGACTCAGGGATGTGTTCCGGAAAAACAGGAGCTCAAACTGCAAGAGAGACCAGGCAGGGAGCACAGATGTGGACACGCAGGCACCCAGCCTGCTCCCGACCCGCCCTCCCGGCACCCTCACTCACAAGCCCCTGGTTGATGAAGTACTCGGCAAAGTAGACCAGCACCAAGGGGACAATCCAGCACAGCAGGCCCTGGAAGGGTCAGAGGGGTGAGCAGGAGGCTGGAGGCAGACGCCGACCACAGGCACACATGGCAGCAGGGCCCACACCTTGAACACGGTCCACCTTTCCTGCAGGGAGAGGTTCCAGCTGGCGCCTGCAGGGATGGGGAGAGGGCGCAGGTGAACCGGGAACACTGAAGACCGGTCCCAGCTGCCCATGGCCAAGAAACCTTGGCATACAACACTATGAACTCAAAAGCTGCCGGTCTGCACACCTAACGGGGGTTAAAATGGTAACTTCATGTTAGGTACACTTGTTATCATGATTTGTTTTGTTTTTTTGAGACAGGGTCTTGCTGTGTAGTTCAGGCTGGTCTTGAACTCAGTATGTACCCCAGGCTGGCCTCCAACTCACAGTGATCCTCCTGCCTCAGCTTCCTGAGTGCTGGGATTGCAGGCGTGCACCACCATGCCCAGCTCTTCATAGCTCTTACAGCTCAACAGATGGGCATCTGCTCCCTCCACCCCAGACACACTGGTTCTTCTGTTTCTAGAACATCCAAGCTCATTTCTACCACAGGCCCTTAGCATGCCCTGTTCCCTATCTGGACCCTCTTCATCCAGAAGTCCCCAAGGCTGTCTGCTTAACAGTCAAGTTTCAGCCAGAATATCATGTCCTCCAAAAGGTCTTCTTTGTAGGAAGTAAACCTCCTAAGCCCTCTCTACTCCCCTCAACTGTCATTTTCTGACATATCACTGTTTTATATCCTCCCAGAGCTTACCAATGTGTGAAAATGATTTGTTTCTGGCTCACGGCCTGGGTTATGAACCATCTTGGTGCTGCTGTTCCTGGAACATCTGACACAGCCAGGCCTCAGAGCAGCTCTTGGCTAGAGGAATGCTTTGACTGTAACCAGGACCGCGCCCTGTCCCCAGAACAGACCAAAACCCAGAGAAAGGACTCTCGCAGAGGGCTATGTCTCCTACCTGGCTTCGGCTCTGGGGCCTCTGTGCCGATGAGGGGCTGCCGAGCTATGGTCTCTGCCTCATCTTCCCTGCCAGGGTCCTGGGGCTCAGATGTGAGCAACAAGAAATAGCTGGGAGTGAGCAGAATGCAGATAGTCAGTGAGCCTTCGGGCCGCCCTTCCCAGGCACCCGGCCTCATATTCGTGTGCTTAGTGGGGGTGTCTGGTCCTGTGCGCACAGGCCCAGCCGTGGACAGACTTCTCCACTGCTCCTACCCAGGGCCCTGTTTGGCTGCTGGCTGACACTCAGCAGCCGGGTGTCTTCTCATCATGATTATCTCATGACTGTTCTAGTTACCACTCACTACAGGTTCGCTTCGCACTAGCCCAGGAGGTCCCAAATTCTAGTCACTTCTGGCCTGGTTTCATCCACACTTATCCTGTATATATTTCACTTAATATTTTCTTTACATTGATTCCCTTTTGCTACCTGGTGCTGTCTCAGGCCTAAGCCACAACCTGTGAGGTGGCAGGTTCAGCCGGCTGGTTAAAGTCGTTTCCTAACGCACGTGGAAACACAGGACCCATACACTGAGGTCCATCTCGCCTTACTTCAGGTCACCTCAGGAACACAGTGTCGAGTACTGCGCACTTCTCACCTCACAGGAAAGCAAGGACAACCACTGCCATTTGAACTATGGGGAAACTGGGGATCAGAGAGGTCCAAGGCCGCTACAGCTAACGGTAGCAGTTGTAGGACGAATCCAGGGGTGTCAGTCTACAATCCATATGGCCCACAAGGCTGCAGGGAACTGCACACTGGGTCACGATGGAGTTCCCCCTGCTCCCACCTCCCTTCCGTCCCACCAGGGCTACTTACCTGGCCAGCAGCAGGCCAGGGATCTCCAGCATGGACAGCAGGGTGTGCTGAGGGGAGAGGCCAGCCTGAGTGAGGGCCAGGTAGGACAGTGCTCCCAGCAACCCTGCTCCCCCGGTGCCCGAGGACCACCAGGAGATCACAGCCCTGAGAAGGAAAAAGCAGGAGCGCTCAGGAGGAGCAGGGCCAGCAGGAGGGCCTCAGTCCTCCCCTGCCCTCAGGCTCACCTTGGGTAGAAGGCGGTGAGCGAGAGGAAGGTGACCTCCCCCAGACCAGAGGAGATGCTGGCCAGGACCACACCTGGGAGGAAGACAGGCATGGAGGTGAAACCATGGCCTTCGCCCAGCAGTCCCAACTCCCAAGCCCATTGACCCAGCCTCATCTCCACTGGCTCAGAGGGGCTGAAAGCAGATTCCTGGGGAAGGCTGAGTGAACTCCTCTTCTGCATGACCTCTCACACAGAATGACACCTCCATCCACCTGTTATCCAGCCAGGAGCAAGGCCTCACCCCCACGGTGTGCGTCCAATCTGTTCGTCTCCCCCACTGACCCTTCCAGATCGCCCTGACTCCCACTCCTGTGTGCAGCAGCCTTCACAGGCCTCTGGGGGCCACAGAAACAACCCCTGTGCTCCGGGAAGCTCTACTGAGGTTCCCCGGGGCCAGCGCGCCCGACATGGAAGTGCACACGCACCGCACAGGCTGGTCCCCACCGAGTGCGAAAAGGCAACCAGGATGAAGCTCCCAGCAGAGCAGATGGCGCTGACGAGAACCCGAGGGCTGAGGGAGAGAGGTGGGGGGGTGGGCTACAGCAGGCTAGCCTTCGGTCCCTGCTCCCCAGCCTCCAGCCCTCTGCCACTCCCCCTACCCCTGCCCCAACCCAAACCTGTAGGGCAGAAGATGAAGGCCCAGGGGAGCCAGCAGTTTGATGAGGAGGGTGGGGAGGATGTCTGCCAGGAGCACCGCCTGGGACAGGAGAACAAAATGAGACCCAGCCCATCCCAGGGACAATGCTCCCAACCAAGCGGCGGGGGAAGGGAGCAGTCAGCCGCTGAACCGGCAGCAAATACAGGCTCTGGCCCCCTTTCACCGTGTGGCACGGCATGTGCACCGAGCTTCGGTTTCTCGGCTGGAAAAAAGGGGATCTCACAGTGCTTAGCTCGTAGGAGAAATGTGGGTGACGTAGGGCTTGGCAACCTCAATAACTGCAGCCATGACAGTCCCAGCTGGGTGCTGAGGGCTGGGGATAGAAGGGTCTCAGCCGTCGGGCCAGTCGGGTACTCACAGCCGTGGAGATGGAGTTGCAGTCAAATCGAGATGAGCTGTTGTGGGGGATGGGCGTTGGATCTGGGGCCACCTGATGGGAGAAAAGAACGTCTTCCATCCAGGGAGGCAGGAAGGTGGACAAGGCCCAGCCTCGGCTCTGTTTTAACTTAAGGATGGCGTAGGGTCTGCCCTGCCCGCATCGCAGTCCTGTCAATGCTCCACACCCTCTCTGTGTGGGACTTGGGACTAAACCCAAGGTTTCACATGCTAGGCAGGCGCTCTATCACTGAGCCACATCCCCAGCCCCAGCCCCTCTGAGTTTATCACCCAGCACCCAGAGCTCTCTTGAAGATCTTCCTGCCCTGAGAGTCTGTGAGACAAGGAACTTTAGACCCCCCCCCCCCACTTCCTTCCATGAGTTTTTCAGAGTCCTCTGCCCCAGGGTGAGACCTTCTCTTCCCACAGGGACTAACTTGGTGGTGGTGGAGAGGGACTCACTCACATGGCTCTGATTCCCAGACGCCCTTTCTTGTCTAAGGATGTCATGGGCAGCACTGAGCATCACCACATAAGAGAAGTTGTTGCAAAGGCCCAGGATCCTGGAACAAGCAAGACAGACTTTATTTCCTGTCAGGGCTACAGCCTCTCCAGTCCTTGCAGATCTCTCGCTGACCTGTGTCCTTCAATCAGCTCCCTCTTTTCTTCCCCTACCCTCAGAGTTCATCGTCCTTCAGTATTGAGGTTAGAAATAAAGGCTTTGGGATCACAGACTTGGATTCCCCTCCGAGTTGAGGCCTTCCCAGGAAGCTATCTTGGAGCTCCCATGACAACTCTGTTCCTGGGCATTTTTCATCCAAGAACCCACTGTGCTACAATAAAAATATTCCAAGGCCTGAAATCCAAAGGTTCAAGTTCCAAGCCTGCTGCTTCCTATTTCAATGGCCTCAGCCTACTTCCATGAAAAATAAGGATATAATTTCTCTCCTGATTACCTTGCAAAGTGCTGTAGGGATCAAAATAATACCAAAGCTCTTATGATACATGAAGGATCTTCTTCACTTACTTTCATCTCTTAGAGCTCTGCTGAGTGATAGTAAAGAAGTGGGCCCTAGCTGGGCGTGGTGCCGCATGCCTGTCCTCCCAGCACTCTGGAGGCTGAGGCAGGAGGATCGCTATGAGTTCGAGCCAGCCTGGGCTTCATAGTGAGTTCAAGGCTGGGCTGAACTACATAGCGAGACCCTGTCTCACAAAATTTTTTAAAAAAGAAAAGAAAGTGGGCCCAGTGTCAAAGGTTTCACAAGTGTGTGATGGGCTCTTCCTATTTTACCGTTGAGGAAACTGAGGCTCTCAGAGAAGTTAAGTCACTCTTCCAAAGAGTCACATGGGAAGCCACTTCCAACACTGGTCTTCCATATTTAGACTAATGCTAGAAGATTTCCCAAGACTCAGTCACTGGTTTCAGTGGTTTTAGGAAATAAGTTGATTTTTTTTTTTGCTGGTGCAGGGGGCTAAATCCAAGGCCTTCACATTGAGCTACACCCCCAGCTCTTCTTTGTATTTTTATCCCAAGACAGCGTCTTACTATGTCACCAGCTTGCCAAGGTCAGGCTCGAACCTGTGATCCCCTCCTGCCTGAGCCTCCAAGAGTTCTGAGATTACAGGCATGCACCACCACACCCAATTTAGATATCTTTTAAAGAGTTTTCACACTGATGGATATATTTGAGTGGGCATTAGGAAAACACTGGTTTTCCATTTGAAGTTGTGCTTTAGTTTCTTTTTAAAGTATGCATATTACAAAATGTTAAGGCTGAGCTGGCTGGAGAAAACTTAAGGTAAAATAGGCCTCTAGGTAGAATAAGGATCTGGCCAGTAGGTGATGGTGGTTAAGTAAACAAATGAAATCTGGCAAATTCACAGGCAGCTTGAGGGCAAACCAGCGGCCTCAGTAAATATTTGTGGACTCAGCTCCTTCTCACAGCTCAACTCTCTTCCCCCACCTGTCAAGTGTTTACATTTGCTGGCCTCTCGGGCCACTCACCAGAAGCCCACCGCGTTCTTCCACTGGGCTCCCCGATGCTCCAACAGAGAGGCTCGGGGCTCCGGGGAGGCCTCCTCCCCTGGGAGCAAGAGAGGATAGTGTGACCCCACCGCGGGCGGATGCGGGCGTCTTCCCGGGCAGAGGCGGTCACTCCCGACAGGGCAGGACCGGAATACTCACCCTCGGAATCCGAAAGGTGCCGCCGCGAACCCGCACAGCATCCCATGGCATCGAGTTCAGGTCCCTCGATGGGTCCAGAGCCAGGGAATGCTCAAAGTTGGCTCGGACGGGGCAAGAGTCTGCGGCAGGTGGGAAGGATCAACGCCCCATGGCCGGTCCCAGCTCCAGCAGTCTGCCGCATTCGCACCCGGCGATCCATCAGTGGGCCCCGTCTCTCACCCTCCAGCCCTACCACGCCCCACCGGTCGGAATCTGCCCCCCCCCCCCAAAGCAGAGGCCCCCTAAGGCCTGTACCTTTAAGAGCCGCTGAGCTTTCCAAACCAAGTAGCAGCAGGTCTGCAGTCGTGTGACGACAATGCTGGTCCCGCATCACGTGATTGGAGATCGTTCCTACTTCCGCGTCTTTGCTTGGACCTTCTCACTTTTGGGACAATAGAAAGGAAGAGGCCAGGACAACCATTGATTTTACATTTGAGCGAGTGGAGCAGCAAAATAGAGCCTTGAATAGCGGCTCCCAAGGCTGTGACTGTGTCCTGCAAACACTAGTCATGGCGTGTGCGTCTTCAGCTCTTCTCCCACCACCTTCGCTTGCCAGAACCAAATATGGCCGCCTGCCCACAGACTGTGACTGGACGGTTCCGGCTGAAAACAAAGATGACCATCGTCACGTCATTCCTAATCTTATCCGCTGCCCTAACAAATTGTTTTTTAAAATCTAAAATAAAGATAGCACCCACCCAAGGAGTTTTCAACAATCACCTATTAGTAGTATCTAAGATGTTAAGTATCCCCTTCCCCAAACTATCCTGGAGCTAAACCAAAACAAACCAACCAACCAAAACACAAAAGTAACCCAAACTGTGGTTTTACAGATGAGAAAACTATTGAGATCCAACAAAATTAGTCCTAGAGGTGACCTTAGAGACTAATTTAGCAATAAGAAACAGAGTTATAGAGGCAGGGAGTCATGGAGCAGGCTGCTGAATCAAGGGTGCTTAGATCAGATGATTCTGAGGCCTAAGATTCTAATTCCATGCTCTTAGGAAAGTGAGGTTCACTTCACATAGTCCCAAATAAGGAGTCATTCCCTTACCTTCTGGAGGTTGTAAAGCAGCATCCTGACTCTTCTTCATCACCACCTTTCCCTACTAAACTGCTACGGCTTCCAGCAGCCTGTGTCCAACTCTGCCAGCCCACCATCAGGCCTTCAGAGTGCTGTTTGAAATATTTCCCTGCTGTGTGTTTCCTAGATGATTCAACCAGTGAGAACTGGGAACTACTTACTACCCATGCAGGGCTCTAGAAATACAGCAGTGTTCTGGCTCTCAAGGAACTCACAGTAGGAGGTAAACACAAATAACCACAATACAAAGTTCAACCAAGTTCTGTTTTGCAATAATCAAAGATGCGGGAATAAGTATTGGAACCACCAACCCAGCTCATTTGTCCCCTTAGGGAAGCATTAATGATATGAAAATGGTAACCAGAGCTCCCACTAGCCCCCTCCTCTCTCCTCTTTGTCCCCAGGCAAAACAGGAACTAGAAACCCCAGCTTCCTGTCACAGAATGGCTGTGGCCTGGGGGAGACGGAAATGACTGTTGTGGCTGCCCCCCAGGTCCCAGTGTCAAAACCTGAGTCACTTGGGCTTTAATTGCCACATGTACCCTACCCCATCCTCATTTCTGAGCTTTCCCAGTCTCATTTTTCTTCTTCCTGGCATACCCTCTTCCCCTGTAGCTCCAAATGTGCACCTGAGGCCCCTAGGCGATGCATATCCATTGCTCTGCCTGGGGCAGAGGCTTTGGTGGACCTGTGGGAGGTGGGCAGGGCCTAGGTTAGGCCTACGTCAGGGAGGGACAGAGGAAGAGGAAGTATCTTAGGTCCTGGGGAAGACTGGCTTGTCTTGGTGGGCAGGGACGGTCATTAGCAGCTTTCTGGACCCACAGAAACAGACAGAATGGACTTCCTCCGGCAACACCTCCCTGGGCTACATCAAGCCTTAAGGGGGGCACTGGTGAGAAAGGCAGAGATGCCAGAGACTTCCACCCCCCATTCTTTGTGGCCTCATCTTTTCTGCTTTGAGCCTTTCCTCAGATTCCTTTCCCAGGAATTGAAACCTTTGCCTGGTTTCAATCCTTCACCTTCACAGATGCACTCCTACACCACCAGTCTAGGTCTTTTTGTGTTCCCCCTGGAGATTCTGTTCTCCCTCTCCTCCCAGATCCCAGAGCCCTTCTCTTTATCTAGGGCTTCTCTGGCCCAGGGCCCCAGGGAAAGAGCGAGGCCTCCCCTGAACGTCTTTGCCCATCTTCTTTTTCTTCTAGGACTCCCTCAGCACTTTTGTCTCCTACCTCATGGGAGATGAGGTCCCCACTGTAGAGAGGGAGGCACAGGCAGCTGAGGAGCTGGGGGAGGTGGCTGCAAGAGGGCCAGAGAAGATTGAAGCCCAGGAGGCTCTGCACAGCCTTAGAGGTGGCCAAAGCCAGGGGGTTGGAGCACTGAGAGGGCCTGCAGAGGCTGAAGGATGCCAGGAGCAGAGCTCGGCTGCAGAACAGGTCTGGGGGTGGGGAGAAGGCAGCTCCTGCAGGTCCCAAACAGGTAGGCGGGACTCTGGGACCTGGGGGGCAGTCACAGCAGCCAGGGTCCCAGAGCCAAGTGTTCTCTTGAAGGCCAAGAAGACATCTGAGGCAGAGTCTGGACCTCACAGAGACAGGAGCAGTCAAGCCAAGGAGAGACAGGAGTCTGAAGAGCAGGAAGTAAACAGAGGGGACACGCTGAGAACCTGGGAACAGGAGGAGGAGGAGGAAGAAGTCAGAGCAAGAGAGCCAGGGATGGCCAGAGGGGTGGAGTCAGAGCAGCCCTGGCATTGGGAGCCCGAGGCAGAGGCTGGTGCCGAGAGGGAGGAGGTGGCCAGGGACACGGTGGAGACAAGGCCTGTGGTCAGGGAGGCAGTTGCAGAAACTGAAGTGTCTGGGGCCACAGGGCCTCGGAGGGAAGAAGGGGAGGTGGTAGAAGCAAGGACTGGCCAAAGCACAAGGGTCCAAGGGACACATGGCCCAGGAGCAGAGTCTGAGGATTGGACAGCCTCAGCCAGGGAGGAGGCTGACCTCCTAGGAGTCAGGGGGACAGAAGATGGGCTAGTCCCAGGAGACAGACGACCAAAAGCTACTAGTAGTATCAGGATCCCAGAGGAGGCATCCAATGGAGACCAGGAAGAGGAGCCAGAGGAGAAGACAGCAGATGAAGTGAAAGTTTTCCCCAAACAGCCCTGGGCCCTAGTTACTGAAGCAATAGAAGAGGCAGCTGAGGGCCAGAAGACACGGCAGGGGGCTGCAGGAGCCCAGGAGCCAGAGGAGGAGGCAGGAGAACACTTTGAGGGCAAGACAGGTCTGTATAGGACCGAGGCCCACGGCAGGCAAAACTCAGAGAGCAGGGCTGATGGCACCAGGCCGAGGGAGGAGGCCCCAACAGAAGAGCCCCAGGAGAAGAAAGGGAGTCGCCGGGCCCCAGAGGCTGAGCTGGCCCCAGACAAGGAGGCTGAAGGTGAGGTGGACTCAGAAGCAGCCCTGGAGGCTAGGCCTGAGGAGGAGTTCCTGTGGGAGAGAGGCCAGGAGGATCAGATGAGCCAAGGAGCCCTGGGGGTGGAGTGGGGAGATGCCCAGGCGCCAGCAGAGCCACCTGAAGAAGGACAGGGGGGTCAGGGGGCACACAGGCGAGGTCCAGGCCTGAGCAAGGAGGAGACAGAAAGCAGGGAGAAGGAGCAGCCCAGACATGTGGGGTCTCTGCCTCCCGAGGTCCTTGAGGCAGAACCCTGGGAACTCTGGTGGAGAGGGGACACAGAGAGCAAAGTCACCCAGCGGGAAAAAGCAGATGCTGAAGAGGGAGACGAGGAGGCTGCAGGAGGATGGGAGTCTGGACTGCCAGAGAGTCCAGAGTGGGGAATGGAGGAGGGAGACACCTCTGTGGAGGAGAACCAGGAGCTGCAGGGAAACCAAGGGGCAGAGGCAGGGACAGGCCAGGCACTGGGACAGCCAGAGGCCAGAGAAACCAAGGACTATGTGGCTGACATCCCTGCACCAAGGGAGGCCGCCAGAGTACCCAGGGAAGGCTGGAGGCCGCGGGAGGCGGCTCTGAGCCTCCAGAACAGCGAGGACACTGGGACCAGTCCTCTGCCTGCTGAGATGGTGGAGGGCCAGGCAGAGGGGCAGCCTGGGCAAGGCTGGGGCTCTGAGGAGGGACAGGAGGCCGGGGGAGGTGCGGAGCAGGTAGAGGCTGTGCAGGTGCTGCTGGAAGAAGAGTCGTCGGGGAAGTGGCATGTGGGCGAGCAGAGGGGACACAGAGAGAGGCAGTGTGGGGGCCGCCACCCTGAGGGAGAGGCACGAAGGCCGCTCGGCGTGGACACCGCCGCGGGGACTGATGGCTGGAGGACGGAAGCTGAGGGTGCTGCTCCAGAAGACCTGGAGGCTGTCCAGGGCCAGGAGGGGCAACCGGCACACCAGCCCCCTGTGGAGACTGCACCTGGGCCCTCTGCAACTGCAGAGGCCATGGGGAGTGACAGAGGGGACACTCACAGCCACTGGAGTGAGGTGAGGGCCCTGGTGTGGACCAGGGAGGGGCCGCAGGACCTGGAAGCCAGCCCCATCGAGCACCACACCTCCTTCCCCGCAGGTCCTGCTGCCCGGGTCCCGCCTGGATGTCTCTGTCTCACGGAGCCGTGCACTCCTGTCACGGAACTCCTCGAAGCGTCGTTCCCGGCCCTCTTTCTGGAGAGCGTCTGCCTCTGAGCAGCAGGACCCTCCCAGCCCCCAGCTGGAGGAGGAGCTGCCCACCCCTGAGCAGAGCCTTCTTCAGCTAGAGGAAGCCCCGGAGCCAAGTCCCTTGCGGCCTGGAGGGACCCCAGAGCTGGCCGGGAGAAAGCTGCTGGGACACGGGTAGGCACTGGGCCCTGACTCTGATGGAGGAGGAGGAGGCTGTGGGGCCGAGGGACCACTCCAAGGTCTGTCTTCCTCCTGCAGGTTTGGCCTCGCACACCCTGGCATGATGCAGGAGTTGCAAGCCCGGCTGAGCCAGCGGAAGCCCCAGTGATGGAGAGCAGCTGCCCCTTGGGAGTCCGCCCTGCGTGAGGGTCCGAAGGCCCGGGCCCTGTCTGACCTGGCTCTCTGCCACCCGCGTCCTTCCCAGTCTGGGCCTCACTGCTTGTTGTCTGGTTTGTGGAGTGGACAAGACCAGACAGCCGTGAAGACCTGGGACTCTGGGAGTCTGACTCTCTAGCGCAGCCTGGTGGCCCTTATGCCACTGGGGCCTCTTCTCAAAGGCCCCTTGCCCTGGTCACCTCCTCATCCTGTCCCAGCTCCTCAGAAGGCAGCACAGAAGGTCGAGGGAATGGAGTCTGTTCTCCCACAGTCTTCCCTTGCTGAGCCCCACTCCACGCCTGAGTCCCCCAGAGAGCGGCGTGGGGTGACACAGCTGTGGGTGGAGGGAAGGGCTCACAGGCCTAGGGGCACTGCATGGATTCAGAGGGTGATGTGCAGGCCAGCTGGGTTGAGCTTCCCAAATGATAGCTCAGCCAGGACTCTGCCGGTTACTATGGCAACTGAGCTGGCCAGTCCAGGAAGGTGGACCAGAACCTCAAGAATGTAGGTGCAGTGAGCATTTCTGGGCAGCTCCAGAGGCTACCAAGGCCACTGTAGCCATCCTGCTCCTTGGATGTCAGGCACCTTTTCTGTGACAAGATGCTGAAGCAGCGAGAGGGTGAGAAGGCTTTATTAGGCACCCAGCACAGTGGCCCAGCCTGAGGATGAAACAATAAATAAATCATCTCCTAAACAATAAATAAATATCCAAGAAATAAATATCTGACATGGACTGGAGGGGCTTTAAGTTACTGGGTAGGGGGTAGGTCTAGGGGCTGATAGAACTTTTTCGTAGTCTGAGGCAGCTGAGCTGGAGGCTGCCCACTCGGCCAGGACCCCAGTCCTGAGGAGCTGGAGGGGAAGGGAAGGGGACTAGCAGGCCCCTCTCTCAGGACAGGAGCCAGGCCCAGGTGTGCAGCCTTGGACAACAGCAGGAAGTCCCTCACGGCCCGAGACAAGACCAGCTCCAGGGAGTGCAGCAGCTGGTAGCTGTAGAGCAGCTGAGGCCAGGACACCTGCGGCCCTGGGAGCAGCCTGGTCCCCTCCTTGGCCCCCCCCTCCTCCTCCTCCTCCTCCTCTTCCTCCTCAGGGAGGTTGACTCCCACAGCCAGCCCCTGTGAGGAAAGACTCCGAGATCAGGCAGTGAAGGGGAGTGCCTCTCACTCCTTTACATGCGAAGCTCTCCATCACGCCCGCGATCCCAAGGCTGTGGTCCCTGGACAGCCCCTGCTTCAGGTCCCCTGAGGTGTCTCCCTCTCTTCTACCTCACCTGGCTTTGGGCTCAGGCAGATTCCAGCTGTGGAGCAAGAGGGTGCTCACAGAGGGCTAGGCCCCCAGCACTGGACGTGAGTGGGAAGTCCCTCTGCTCTTAAGCATGAGCTCAGGATCAGAAATGGGGAGAGGAGTGATGGGGCTAGGTTCCACGTTGCTTGCATTTTCCATTCTCCTTTTTAATAAAGTTTATCTTGTCCTTTGAAGTGTTCGGGAGAATCTGGGTGATGTCCGAGTAAGGGGGAGGAGGGCACCTGTCTAGCTGTTAGACCCTGCTGCTGCCAGGGGCTGCCCCGGGGCTTGGGCTCTTACTTCACTGAAGATGAGCCCGCAGAGTAGGAGACTGGGGGGCAGCGCCAGGGTCTGATGCAACCACGCACACGCACACGCACACTCACACACGCAGAGCTGAAGGTCTCCTTCCAGACTTCACCTGGGGGTGGGGGCTGGAAGGGGGGCCAGTGAGCCGCAGTTTTGTGTCGAGGCCCTGGCGCTCACCTGGAAGCGCAGATGCCTCTGCAGGTCCCGGAGATCCAGCCTCGCTGCCCTCAGCCGCATCCTCTCTGAGCTGCTCCAGAGCCCCTGGCTCCCCAGCCTTCTCAGCAGGGCGTGGAAGGGCCGAAGCGTCAAGGAGAGGAGGCAGAGTCGCTCTGGGTCCTGTCGAAGGGGAGGCGAAGGGTCAGGGAAGGCCCCGGGGGCCCGAGGATGACCCCATCTCCATGCAGTCTCATTCCTGCTCCGCCCTCCAGGCTCCCTTAGTCCTGTTACTCCCAAGCCCACCTCAGCGCTTCCTCCGTGCTCTTCCGCCTGCGCCTTGGGCTGCCCCTCATTCCCTTCGCCACCGTCCAGTCTCCCTCCGCGCGCCTGAGGATCCCTTTCCAGCCTCTCCCACCACACGCCCTTCCTTCCTTCCTTCCTTCCTTCCTTTCCTTTCCTTTCTCTCTTTTTCTCTTTCCTTCCTCCCTCCCTCCCTCTCCCC